TGCTGGTGCTGGAGACCAACACCACCATGGTTCACTACCAAACCAACAGGCCACAGAATTCACACCTGTATTTCCATCTGCCTGTTTCATCTGGTTTGGAAGCTGGGAAACTCAAAGCTGGGGACGATGTGATGCAGCCACCAGGAGAGAAGTGCTCCTCTATTACACTGGAGGAAAATCCCCAGCCCTTCTCCCCCCAGCAGAGCTGCTCCTGTCCAGGCTAGCCACCATGAGGCAGTGTACCTTCCATTATTAGGGCAAGAAGAGAAAACTCCTCATCTATCACAGCACCTCGCTCCATCAGTGCTACTTTATTAGTACAGTCAGTAGGAAAATATTAATCATTGATATTTAAGCAAACCACAGGGACTGCAGTTGACACAAGGTACCTAAGAAGTATTAGGACTCTTGTAAGAAGTGGCTCAAGCATTCCTGTGCATCCAACACGAACAAGAGCTGCCCAGCCTCCTCAACCAGGACAGACTGTCATGTTTAAAAACAATGCTTTCACAACAATTCAAGTAAAACTCTTCTGTGCTGTAACTATTTCTCCGCTGGGTTTAAAGCTGCAGGCAAGTGAACGTGAAAAGGAAAGCATACAGCCTTCCTCAACTCCACTCACTGCTTTCAAAATAACTCTAGCTGAGAAAACAAAACTAGTGCTATTATTTGAGGAGGTGCTGTAACACGATTATTGATTTTAGGGTAAGCTAGGATGTAACAGCTGTTAAGCAACACTCAGTAATGGTACAGGAGGAGTTAAAGGCCTCTCCTGTTTCACTCCTGCTCTTGTAACTATTCCAACCTATCCCTCTGCTTCATTTCACTGTACAGAAAGCCCTTCTGCAGGCAGGCACAGGTCATCCACACAGACCCTATCACCTAAGCTGTTCCATGACTAAAGTTCAGATGCAACTAAGAGTGACATGTACATGTTTCCACTGCTAATGATGACATACCTAATTAAAGGCCATTTATTACAGGTGTGCTGGCACTTTTATGACATTGAAAAAACTATTCAATAATCTAATGCTTTGAGATAATTAAATGACAGAGTGGCAAAAACACAGAAAACTGAAATCAAAGAAAACTGAGCAGTGCTGGGAGGAAGAGAGACCAGTCCTTGAGCAGCAAAGCAGTATCATAACCTCAACTTCAATCTCTGGGCTCTTTTAAATTATTCAAATTGCAATGCTGCCAAACACAATCAAACTTTTCCTGATGCTCAGAAGCACTGCCTTTTCCTCCCTGTAAATCAAGCCAGGTGAGTTGTCATTCTGTATCTCCCAGTTTATAGTGCAGCTAGATTTCCCTATCTCTAGTTGGCTTGCAAATCAAGCAATTGAAACCAATCGTGGCACATGGCATCTGCTAGGTTTTGTTTAATTGTGCCCAGTCCAATCGTTGTGCTTCCAAATTAAGTAAGAGTTACACAACAAAGATGTTAAAATAGTTCGGTGTTCCAGTGCTAAAAACCTCACATGATCCAACTCAGCGTTCGAGGCGGTACAACCCTCGCAAGCCCCAGCGTACGGCAGGGAGATGCTACGAGCTCCCAGCTTTTAAGCCGTTCCCGAGAAATAACCATACTTTAAGAAACACAGTGCGCAGACTCCAGCACACCCGAGGCTAAACACCCAGCCAAAGCCATGTCCCATCCCCACCGGGGGATAGATTACAGGCAAGAGCCGCGCTGACAGCGGAGCGCACCAGCTCCATGTGGGGGACGGGCCGACAGGGATCAGTCACCTCCTTCCCCGAGCTGCCCGGGGCTGCTCCCTCCGCAAGCGGACGCGGCCCCGGGAAAGTCGGCGCCCTCCGAGCTACCTGGCTCCGGTCCCGGCGCTGTGCAACGCGAGCGCCCCGCGGGCGCCGGGGCCGCAGCCCCCGCTCCTGCCGGGGCTGAGGCACCCACGGTGAGGCCGGCCGCACCGCAGCGGGGAATAAGGTCACCGACAGTGGCCCCCGGGCCGCCCCCGCTCCGGCACGGGCCGCCGAGCGCAGCGGGGGAGGCCCCGGCAGCAGAGCGGGGAAAGCGGGGTGACCCCGCCGGGGAGCGACCGCGGGCCGGGCGCAGGGGCCGCCGCCGCGATTTCCCCGCCGCCCCTCGGGGGCGGGCGGCCGCCCACGCCATTTTGAGGAGGGGGGAGACAGGGGGGCCTTTCCCCCGGCGCCGCGCGGCGCCGCCAGGCCGCCCAGCCCCGCGCTCGGGAGCGACCTCGCGAGCGCAGCCCCGGTGCCGCCGCCCCCGGTGCCGCCGCCGGGCCTCGTTACCTGCCGGGGCGGGCCGGTGGCGGGCCGGGCCCGCGCGCCGCGCCGCGTCCCTCGCCGCCATCTTGTCCGGGTTTAAAATTAACTCCCCGTGACGTCAGAGCTCCGCCGCGAGACCTTTATCGCCCGCCGGCGGCGCGCGGGGCGAGGCCTCGCGCGGGGAGGGGCGGGGCCGGAGCTGGAGCCCCAGCCCCCGGGGGCTGCAGCGGGAAGGGGGAAGCGCTGAGGGGCCGGGCGGCGTGAGGGCAGCGGAGAGAGAGCGAGACAGACAGACAAACAGACACATACATACACACAGGGACACAGACATGCACACAGGCCCAGCCCCCGAGCTGAGTGCCTCCCTCACGGCGTGCGCTGAGATGGAGCAGGGGGCTCCCGCGGGGCACGGGGTAAGGAGGCCCCCCGGCCGTACAAAACACCTCTTGAGGCAGCGCATCCTTCAGGGGTCCCTCCCTGCCTCCCTCGGCCACAGCTCGCTCGTGTAGAGCTCACAGCCGGACCGTGACCCGTGTGCTGGTGTCCACCTGCACCCTCACCCTGCTGGTTCCCCTCTGCTGGGCCGGGGGACAGCCAGGAGAGCGAGCGGGCCGCTCTGCATTGCCAGCCGTCACTCCAGCTCCTCGCTCCTCACTGTAGCACTGGGGCTGGGAACACGCGGGACAGCTCTAAATCAGAACAAGCCACACCAGTTTCCAAGGAACCAAACATTCCTGCTGTCTCTGGGGTTTGCAAGAGTCTTGTTCCTCTCCATCCGAACTGACCTTGCTTCATCCTTCTAAAAGGCCAGCTGTGAAAGTGAGCTGCCCTTACTGCATGAAGTTTTTAAGTCTGTGAGGTTTCCTATTGCTAAAGGTTGTGTAAACCTTCTCAGGCAAATTGGTCAGTATGACCTTGTCACTCGTTAGAAGAACACAATGTCCAATAAATCATCATGTGAAGTGAGCAACAGGCTTGCAAAACCCCACTTCACCGTGGCAATGCTCTCTGCAGAAATCATTTTTCTCAATTTTTAGCTATGCCAACTTACTTAGTTCTGGAGAGGCAGCTTGTGAGTGACAGCAATCTTAAAAGCAAACAGAGTTTGGTTCTGCCAAAATGGAGGTGGAGAGAAAGCTCAGAAGAGATTTTCAAAGTAAAAACGAACTATCACGGAAGCACCTACAACTTGCTTTCCTTTACTATCAAAGTAGCACATAGGGGGTTTCCTAACACAGGGGTTCATGACACTCCTGCAGTGCTTACACTGGCAGCCCTTGTGTCAGAAAGTTTAATACCTACAACACATGAAAAAGAAAGTAAAATGTCTAAAAGATGCTGCAATCACAGCAAGTAAGAACTGCAGAAGGATACAACGATCAAACTATTATCATATATTCATTCTAGTTATGACACTTGGATTAATAAAATATGCAGTTCTGTAAAAGAACTTTATTATTGTAGATTTACGTCAGAATAAATGGAAGCAGGATTCAACCCCTTTGTACAAAAGCGTTCATATGACTGCTAGAAAATAACCCAAAAATATTGCCATTGGTCTTTTGCAGTTTAATATCCCCTATTTATTTGCTGAAAATGAGCATACCATTGCTTGTCCTTCTAACCTCATACCAAGTGAAGGAAAACCTTTCTTTCCATCGGAAGGAAGGCAGAGCACACTCTGTACACAGAGGTATTGCAGAGATATTCAGGCAATCAAGGGAAGGGAAACAACTTGAAGTAAAACACATTGACACTGTTAGCTGCCAAATTTAAGCTTCAGCAGCTCAATATGCAAACTAAAATAAACAGGGGGAAAACCACCATAATACTAAAGAAGTTTCCTAATGCTGCTATTAGTAAACAGCCTTGTTCCTGGTCAAGTCTGGAACAGTTTACACAGAGAAGAGTTTGAAATAGTGCGTGTTCAGACAGATAGATTTCTGCTTCATGCAACAGGATTTGCTGCTGCTGTAACGTGAGAGCAGAAGTCAGGAACTTGGAGGTCAGAAAGCTCAGCCTTAATTCTGTCCTCTTATGTCTGCAGGAAGGAAGGAGACATTTTCTGGGCTGAGGATTTTGCTATCAACAGGTCTTCTCCTGGTTGCAAAGGTCCCCATCTCCACTGCACTCCAGCTACATTCCTGAGCCAGGCTAGGAAAGGAACTAGGACTGAAACTGCTTAAGCTGGCTATGGATTTGGCCTGGAAGGAGCTTGGGAGCAACTGTGCAAACCACAGGCAGGCTGTGGTGGGAAGGGATTGCTGGAGCAGAAGGATTCCTGACCCTGAGTGCCAGCTGGGCCAGTAGTCCCTTCAGCCCCCAGAGTCACAGTTTTGTACTACAGGCAGCATCTTCTCCTGGATTTGGCCATGCTGCTCTGAAAACTCTGCTGTCCCAAGCTTGTCCCAAACCCACTTTGGGCCAGCCAGCAAACACTATGCAGTGAGACAAAGGCTGCTCAGCCATGCTGCTTGGAGAGCTGTCCCTTCCTGCGGCTGGAAGGGAAACAGAGCCACCACAATGTCTCCTGGCCTTCAGGAATCACAGCATGGCATGGGACTGGCCAGTTCCTGACCCACGCAGGCTAGAAGCATCCACTGGACACTAGGAAAGGCTGAATCAGGCTTGGGTCCTTTATGCCTTTCTGTACAAAGTGTTTCTCAATCCTCATCAGCCAGCCTGTGCAATGCAGTTGGGCTTGTTTAAAGTAGTCCGTATGATAACAAATCCTTCAGCCAAACACCTACCTGAAGCATGCTGAGCACCACTGCTGGGCTGGGGAACAGAGCCATGATCCACCTTGGAGGGCTGAGGGTCCTGGGATGAGCTGGAGACATCTCCATTGGTGCTTCTGCGCTTACCAACCGCTCTCCTCATCTGCTTCAGGCTTCCGAGTCCAAACTAGTGACCAGGAGATTCCCACTCCTCCTTCCAGACTGTGCAGTGCTGCAGGCAGTCAGCAGCTGAGGACAGACAGGTCTGAGATAAAGGTGGCTCTGCTGACACCCACCCTATCCACAGCAATAAGGCACCTCCAACCCTCTGGCTGCAGTTACTAGGACCAGTCCAAACTAGTGACCAGGAGATTCCCACTCCTCCTTCCAGACTGTGCAGTGCTGCAGGCAGTCAGCAGCTGAGGACAGACAGGTCTGAGATAAAGGTGGCTCTGCTGACACCCACCCTATCCGCAGCAATAAGGCACTCCAGCCCTCTGGCTGCAGTTACTAGGACCTCCCAGGGCTTCCCAAGGAATAAAACTGGGGAGGCAAGGAGAGGTCAGCTCTGCAGCAGTGAACCAGCGCTAGCACTGGGAACAGCCAGGGCAGGCAGGGTCAGCTGCCCTCCCACCAGACCCCACCAGGGAGCTGTGTCACTCAGGCAAGTCTGAGATGTCCTAACAGACTCCCGCTGGGAAATCCGTCTGGATCTCGGGCTTGTTCCCAGAGGCAAACACGTGCCCTCCCAGAGTTTGGAAATGCCCTACAAGGCACCTCGTCCTGCTTTTCTCTGAAGAACACCCAGGCTGCCGTACCACAGCCCTACTGCTTATGGACTTCGTCTACTCACAGCTTCCCAACTCTTCCAGCTGGAGCGCTCCTCCCTCTGCACCGTGCCAGCAGGCGCTGGAGGATGTGCTGCTCCCCGAGCCCCTGCCCACTCTGCAGCTGGATCCTCCCTTTGGCTCCCTCTTCCCAGCACCCATCCCTGTGCCCTGCCCACACGCAGGAACACGCTGCTCGGTCCTGCCCAGGCTGGCTGACGTTTGCCTCACTACCTCGGCAAACATCTCAGTCCCATAAACAGGCAGTCTTGGTTTCCTATGCGTTTTTTTTTTCTGGTGCTCGCCATTTTCCAGGGGCATCTCTCTCCGGTTCATTTGTCACACAGGTGATCTAAAAGTTGCTGTGCATCATTGCAGAGTGCTCAGCACAGCTACCCATGTGTGTTGGCATAACCTGGGGCTCATCCAAGCAAAGCCAAGGTGAGATACAGTATGAATCCAAGCCTGGTTCTTCTGTGGAGAACTGCAAGAAGGGAGAGGCATTTGGGAGCAGAAAACAAATTGGGAGGGAGGGGAAAAAAAACCTATTTTACTTAATCTCCTCAACCTGAAGCTGTCCCGTATGCTGAGAGGAGATGCCTTTTTAGCTGGCTGCAGGACACCTGCTCGAGAGAGAAAGCAGCCCCTCCCAGACCACTAATTTATAGCAAGCTGAGTGAGAAATCTCTCATTCTTCCCTGATGTTGACCCAGGAGCTGCTCCTCTGGGGAGGAAGGTGGAAAGAACATTGAATTTTAGCTGTGAGAGCAGCTTAGAGCAAGTTGCTAGGCACCAGCTGCAAGAATTGCCTGCAGGTGCTCGTGCAGGAGAGGTTGGGCCGGTTGATTGGGCTCTCCTGGTGCAGCCAGAGTGCCAAATACCTTTGAAACGGGCATAATCCATTCTCAGCCTGAAGGAGCTATTGCACAATCTTCCCAGGATTAAGGGTTTAAATCGAGGGACTGTGTCACAGCTGGGGAAAGGGCAGTGGGCAGGCTCAGGAGCCATGCTGGCCTGTGTGGCTGTCTGGGGTGGTGGGATGCCCAGGGAGGTGACAGTCTTGCAGAGGCACACGAAAGCAATCTCCCTTGTCCTGCCCTGTCTACATCTTATCAGGGTGACTGAAGTCTTCAAAAGATTAAATGGCTACGTGGTTTTCTTCTGCTCCTGGAAGCAAAGCTCCATAGCCAGCTGAATCTTTCATTGCAAGCGTTTGCTCAAGCGGAGTCCTATCATTTCAGTCTGTATAAACAGTGAGATTTCCATCTCACTCTTAAGCAACAGCACAAGACGAGGCTGTTTTTAAAGTCTGGCTTAGATACTGACTCCTGTGAAGGCTGCAGTGCTGCTTGGAGCGCCAGCATGCCTGCAAACCCCAGGGCTGCCCCACTGCAGAGATGCCCCTGTCTACAGCCAGCATGCTGCTTCCAGCCTCACCTGGAGGCCAGCCCTGCTTACCCACCTGATGCCTGCTCTGCACCTCTGAAAATGAGAAGCACCCCTCTCTTCCAGCCTCACCTGGAGGCCAGCCCTGCTTACCCACCTGATGCCCCTCTGAAAATGAGAAGCACCCCTCCGGTTTGGATCCCCTTGGTGTCATTTCCCAATGACCCTTTAGGCCATCAAGGACAGCACAGAGAAAGAGCTTTCCCACACCCCCAGACTCCATTTTCCAAACCTCTTGTCCTAGGAAAAGAAGCATTGCTCCAGCTGTCACTGTGACACCCATCAAATGTCTTGCAGAGACAATCACACCAGCCTCTGAAGTCACACAGCCTCCTTCCAGGGAGCTGTGTCTGCTTTTCTGGTACAAACAGCAAGGCTCAAGAGAGGAGGAGCCCCCTAGGATCAGTGACTGTGCTTCAGCCTCTACCAGTGCTTTGTCTGCATAGTGCAGAATACAAAAATCAGGCTACCAGGGACAACTTGGGATGGAAAGTACCCCACCATCACAGAGGCCTCAGTGGCAGCTGAGAGTCTCACCCAGAAAAATGCTGCATAGACATTTCATTCTTTAATGTAATAAAATCAGACTAATTTAGCTCAGCGTGCTGCAGATATTTACCAGCAAACACTCCTATCAGCACTGGCTGGGGGCTTTAGAAGAGGATATTTGTCCTTGCAGCACAACTGACCTCTCATATCACAAGCCAGCTCCTCCCATATGGGCAAAGCATCACCATGTGATCCTGACTTGAGGGAAGCAGCGCAGCTTTACACCTGGGGAGGGATTAGAACTGAGAACCCCGTGCAGGCAGACCTGGCTCCTGGTTGCATGTGGGGTTAGGAATGATTGCCCTGGCATACAAAGGGTGCTAATTACACGGCAGAGTTTATTTGCATCCTTTGCAGCTACATGACTGGCTTGTTGGGTGAGACTTACAGGTCCCCACGAGGAAGTAGGTGGTTTATTCCCAGGGTTTCACATGCTTGTTTTCCATGCAAGTCCAGACTGGATGCATAGAGATGAGTTGTACTTAAAGAGAGTCCTGCTGAATTCCCACAGCAGAATCTCACCTGCAGCTCTTATTTTCCTTTTCTAGAAGGCAAATCCCTCCAGCACAGGGTCACGCACACACCCTTGGATCAGGCTCTGTCAGGAGAGGATGGGTTTGGATGTAATTAAGCCGTATGGTCACTCTACCCAGCTAGGAGAAGTTTTGGACTAGCACAGGCTGCCTTGCCAAGGACTTGGGTGCCTCAAAGAGAGCTTAGCTGCCAGCATCAGCTGGTGTAAGACCCAGTGATGGCAGCACCCAGGAAAGCCAGGTGAGGTGGGGACCTGAGCTTCCCCCAGCAGCACCATGGGCTTATGAGAGGGTACGTGGGGCAGCAGCACCCTTCAGGGCTGGGATCACTCCTGTGCTCCCAGTCAGGCCTGGATGTAGCTTGTGATCCTTCACACACTGATGAAACTGTCTGGATCTAGTCTCAGGTATTGAAGCAAAGTCTGGGTCTGAGTCTAGACATGAAGGGCAAGGCCAGTTCTGTGGTCTGTGTTTGTAGGTTCAGTCTGGGCCAAGCCTAAGGACACAAAGCAGAATGTGCCATTTAATCTGGCTGGATTAAGGTGTGAATTTAATTAGATCTCATGTCTTCTCAGTAAAATCTAGAACATGCTGTTGAAAATTTTTGTTTAATCTTCCTCCAAGACTTTTTTGCATACATTTCAGCAAGAAACTTGCAGCACAGGGCAATTGCAATGGAATGAGAAGCCAAGTTTTAGCAAAACCCAGAGGGTGGGGCTGAGATCAGCATCCTGTCATCTTTGGATTTGTGTTTCTGATTCAGAGGCTGTCCTGCCCCCTCTCCTCCAGGAAGACTGTAAAATTGATTTAGCTACTGTCCTGTAGGATCACTCCATGGCAGCTGTCTCTGTACCCAGTCAGCCACAAAAAGCACAGTATTGCACTGGCTATGATCACATTTAGGTAGTTTGACAAAAAAAGGCTCCCGGGACTCATCACAAGGAAAAACATAAAATTGTTTGGAAATATTAATCAGGGGAATATCACCAGTTTTGTTCTTCTCAAGTAATATTAACTTGCGAGAAATAGAGAAACAATGAGAGGAAGAAAAGGGGACAGCAAGCCTGGCTGCAGCAGAGGGCTGGAAACGAAAAAGCAAATTCATTTGAGATCCAGGGATTAAGATCCAATCATTTGACCTCAGATTAAAAAGTGGATAAGCACAACAAAGAATAGCTTAAAACATTTGGGAAAGTGTAAAGGAAAATCAAGTGGCATTAAATAACAAAACAGCTGCATTAAGCCAGAATGCCTCCCTGATCACAGGCAGCAAATCCAAGTAAGGGATACCTCAAGCTTCCTCAGCGCCATCCAGTCATCCCCCAGCATTCCTATTTCCCTGCCACCCTCGGAGTTAAATCAAAAAGAACTCACCCTGCTCCACACCAGTTTGTTGCTTCTATTGAGCTGCTCTCCCTCACCCTCAGGGGAGCACAGCCACCTGCCAAAATCCCTTATTAGGAAGAAATTACCCAGCAGAAGTAGGCTAGCTAGCTGTAAATGCGTGCTGGAGAACAGGAATACCAGGACAGTGATGCTCAGGCTCTGAGTGCAGTGTGGCTGCTTCCCAGCTTTTCTTTGTGAGCTTCCCCCACCAGCATGGTTTCTTTTCCTGGACTTGGCCTGTATCTCCTAGGGAAAACCATCCAGCTCCCTTGCAGCCTGCTCACTTCAGCCAACACAGATCCTCAGTGGCCATTCCCACAGGTTCCCGGATGTCCTCCAAATGTCCAGTTCAGCTACTTTCTTCTGCAGCACCTTTGAAATCATTAACACAGCGCTGTTAAATGGGTGTCAGTCCCAGGTGGGCAGCACAACCTGGCACCGTGGCACTGGCCCAGCCCCTGCGTGCTGGTTGGCAGCTCATAGCAGGCCATGGCTCTGCCCCAGCCTTGGCTCCACTGCAGTTTCAGGAAATGCAGAGAGCAGTCACAGGCTGGGGGGCACAGAGCTGAGCTGGATGGATGCTGGGTGTTCCCCTTGCACAGATTCAGTGGAGAACCAGTGTCCCTGTGACAGGCACAGTTCCCTGCTTGCACACTTCAACCACAGTACCCCACAGACAAACATCAACCTTTCGTCACCGTGGCCACAGCCACCTCCCCACTGCCACCATCCTACAAACAGGCTGTGTCCTAGCAAGTGCCTCTGCCACTGAAAAGCACCTTGCAATGAGGAACCCCAAGGCTGGGAAAGGTCTGAGCATGGGACTGCCCAGAAGTGTGTTACTGCTTTTCCTTCTCCTTCTTGTCCAGTGGACAGTGATCCTGTTTTTCCAGCAGCCCCACTGCCAGCTGCAGTGGCCTGGCAGGCGCAGTGACCCCGAGTGATTATTTAATAGCAGATTGTATAACAGAGCAGGGCAGACATTACATTTCTGTCTCTGACCTCAGCCCTGGGACATCTCCCACCCATAAAGCTTCCAGTCTAATCTTTCAGACCTCAGAGGAGCAGCCTTAGACATGTGACACCATCCTTCAGAGAGGAGTGACCAGTGGGGACCAGGTAGCTCTGGGCAGGAATGGGCTGCCCAGCACATCTCAGTCCCACAGAAGG